CCGTCTCCTTGTCTCTGGTCTTCCCAGGTCCCGCCCCCCCCTCCCGTGCTCGCCTGCCCCGCCGTGCCTTCCCTGCATCGAGGGGCGGCAGCGCGCCGCTCCTCACTCCTCGTTTCCTCCGACCACTGCTCCTCTGCAGACTCTCCACATAGACGTGTGGGACCCAGCCTGCGTCCGTGGGACAGACCAAGAGCGCTACTTCTTGCTGGTCGTTGACGACTACTCGTGCTACACCACCATCTTCCCCTTGCGCAGCAAGGCGGCCATCAGCGGTGTTTTGATCCCCTGGATCAGCGCTACTCGTCACCAGCTGCGCGAGCGGTTTCGGCGGGACCTTCCAGTCCTACGTCTGCACTCTGACAGGGGCGGTGAGTTCTCTTCCGGCCTCCTTGCGGAGTTCTGTCGAGCCGATGGCATCGTCTAGTTGTTCACGCTTCCGGCCTCTCCGCAGCAAAATGGGATTGCTGAGCGTCGCATTGGCTTGATCATGGAGGTTGCTCGTACCTCCATGATCCATGCGGCTGCTCCCCATTTTCTGTGGCCGTTTGTGGTCCGATACGCCGCACATCAGCTCAACATATGGCCCCGTCTCTTTTTGCCAGAGACGTCGCCCACATTCTGTTGGACGGGGGAGGTTGGCAATGCGTCGAGGTTTCGGGTCTGGGGCGCGCTCTCCCTTGTCCGCGATACCACCGCGAGCAAGCTCTCTCCTCGCACTCTCCGCTGCGTCTTCCTTGGCTTCCCCACCAACGCCCCGCCTTTGCAGTTTTACCACCTTGCCTCGCGTCGAATTATGTCCTCCTAGGACGTCACATTTGACGAGTCAGTCTGCTTCTACCGGCTCCACCCGCACGCACTCCACCCGGTCCCCCCGCTGCCCCTTTTCCTGGTACCAGTCCCCCCCCCGGTAGACCCCCTTCCCCCACAGGGTCCTGCTCCCTCAGGTGTGTCTCAGAAAGACCCACCCCCCTCGGTTGAGCCTTTGGAGATCTCTTCTGACTCCTCTGACCCAGCTGAGGGGGGTTACCCACCCGCTGACGACACGACGGCCACTCGCCGCTCTCCTCGCTTGGAGACCCCCCCGGGTTTTCCGCCTCGGCCGTCTTCGCCGCCTCCGGAGCCTGCTGCTGTGGACTCTGGTGCTGCTGAGGGTGGTGACACTGGGGATGGGGCCTTTAGAGGTGCTAGTCCTGGGGGTGCTGACACTGGTGCTGAGCCTGGGGGTGCTGAGACTGGGGGTGCTGAGACTGGGGGTGCTGAGACTGGGGGTGCTGAGACTGGGGGTGCTGACTCTGGGGGTGCTGTGAGTCCTATTGGTGGTGGAGCCGTGGGTGCTCCTGCTGGAGGTCCTGGAGTTGGACAGCCGCAGCTGCCTAGTCGACTCGAGACGCTCTCGCCGCAGCAGATTCTTGAGTGGATCGTTTAGCGAGGCCGTCCTGGTGGTGGAGGATAAGGTGTTAAAGCTTCTGGAGATGCTGGTGCTGGAGGTGCTGCTGGTGCTGGAGGTGCTGAAGCTACTAGTCCTGGAGGTGCTGGAGGTGCTGGAGCTGCTAGTCCTGGAGGTACTGCTGGTGATGGAGGTGCTGGAGGTGCTGCTGGTGCTAGAGGTGCTGGAGCTGCTAGTCCTAGAGGCACAGCTGGTGCTGGAGGTGCTGGAGATTTTGCTGGTGCTGGAGGTGCTGGAGGTGCTACTGGAGGTGTTGGGGATACTGGAGCTGCTGGCACTAGAGGTGCTGGTGCTAATGGTGCTGGAGGTGCTGCTGGTGCTGGAGACTCTGGAGCTGGAGGTACTAGAGGTGCTGGAGGTGCTGCTAGTACTGGAGGCACTGGAGCTGGTGGTAATGGAGGTACTGGAGCTGCTGACGGTACGGGTACTACGCTGCGCCGACCGTTTTTCTACCCGCAGCCGCAGTCGTCCCTGCCACCGCCAGACTCAGCCCATCGCCAGGTTCTTAGTCTTCCGTCTTCCACTGGACTCACTCCACCTCTCCTGTGTCCACCGACAGACTAGTCTCAGCCACAGCTACTGCCTGGCTCCCCGCTGCCTGCTCCTTCTCCTCACACAGAGGTGACTGAGTCCCTGACTGAGTGTCGGGAGCCTGAGACTCGTGCTTCCACACCAGTTCGTGCTCGTCGTGTCGCCCGTTCTCGTCCTCTTGCTGTCCCAGGCACTCACGGTATGGCACTTCGTCCTTCCTCTGTTCCACAGTGTGTTGCCCTGCCGTCTCTTCCGGCGTCCTCTCTTCCTGACTTTCCTGACCCTGAGTCAGACCTTGCTCGTGCTGCCAGTCCTACTGTCACTCGTCTCTTCGCTACTGTCGTCATTGACCCTGACTTTGAGTCTATTGCTGCGTTTTCCCTAGTCACTAAGGTAGTCGACTTTGCTGCTAGGAGTCGCGAGTCTTGTTACTGAGTCTGAGTCTGCCTGTCCTCCGTCCGTCGGGGGTGAGCCTGCCCTTAGCAGTGACGTCCTTGAGGATAGGCAGTTTGAGCTTGAGTGTCTTGCGGCCGTATTACCTCGTTTCGCATCCATGCTGCTTTGCCCTGAGGGAGACCCGTATGCACTTGACATCCCTACCCCGCGCTCTTACGCTGAGGCGATCGCGGGTGAGTACACTGGTGCTGCTGGGGGTGGTGACACTGGGGGTGAAGACGCAGGTGGTGCTGGTCCTGGGGGTGCTGAGACTGGGGGTGCTGGCCCTAGGGGTGAGGGTTCTGGGGGTGCTGAGACTGGGGGTGCTGCGAGTCCTAGTGGTGGAGGGGTCGTAGGTGCTCCTACTGCAGTTCCTGGTGCTGGACAGCAGCAGCCACCTAGTCGACTCGAGACACCCTCACCGCAGCAGCTTCGTGAGTGGGTTGTTCGGGGAGGCCACTCTGGTGCTGGAGCTTGGAGTTACCTAGACGCAGAAGCTACTGGTGCTAGAGGTACTACTGGAGCTGCTGGTGTTGGAGCTGGTGGTACTGGAGGTACTGGAGGTGCTGGAGCTGCTGTTCCTAAAGGTCCTGGAGCTGCTGGTCCTGGAGGTACTCGTAGTAGAGGTGCTGGAGCTGCTGCTCCCTGAGGTGCTCGTACTAGAGGTGCTGGAGCTGCCGGAGCTGGTGGTACAGGAGGTACTGGAGCTGGTGGTACAGGAGGTACTGGAGCTGGTGGTACAGGAGGAACTGGAGGTGCTGGAGCTGGTGGTACTGGAGGTATTGGAGGTGCTAGAGCTGCTGGTCCTGGAGGTGCTCGTACTAGAGGTGATGGAGCTGCCGGATCAGGTGGTGCTGCTGGTGCTGGAGGTGCTGGAGGTACTGTCAAACTTATATCTACTATAGTCTGTTTAGGCTGTAGTGGGGTAGTCCTTAGAGGGTACAACACTTTTGTGTTTTCTACTTGTACCCTTCTGCTTTTCTAGTCTCACCCATTCTTTCGTCAATTCTCTCACATGGTATAGAGCTAGTTCAATTTCTCCTAAGGGCCCACCACTAAAATTAAACTTAAATTTTTTTTTACCTGCCCGACGCGCGCGTTGCGCCTGCCCTTTGCGGCCCGTAGCGGCCCCTGCGCCTGCCCTTAGAGCCAGCGCCGGCCCCCAAAGCAGCCGCGTTGCGGCTTGGCCAGGCGCCGCGCAGCCCCGTAAGGCCCCGTAAGGCCCCGGAAGGCCCCGTAAGGCCCCGTTTACGGCCCCGTTTACGGCCCCGTAAGGCCCCGTTAGGCCCCGTAAGGCCCCGTCAGGCCCCGTTTACGGCCCCGCAAGGCCCCGTAAGGCCCCGTAAGGCCCCGTAAGGCCCCGTCAGGCCCCGTAAGGCCCCGTTTCCGGCCCCGTTTACGGCCCCGTAAGGCCCCGTTAGGCCCCGTAAGGCCCCGTCAGGCCCCTTTTGCGGCCCCGTCAGGCCCCGTAAGGCCCCGTCAGGCCCCGTTAGCGGCCCCGTCAGGCCCCGTCAGGCCCCGTAAGGCCCCGTCAGGCCCCGTTTGCGGCCCCCGTTACGGCGCGACTCGCGGCCCTGCCCCGACCCTGTCGCGGCCCTGTCCAGGCCCTACTGCGACCCAGCCCCGGCCCTACTTCGGCCCTGTCGCGGCCCTGTTCCGGCCCTGCCCCGGCCCTACCCCAACCTGTCGCGGCCCTGCGCCGGCCCTGCTGCGGCCCTGTCGCAGCTCTGCCCCGGCCCTGCTCCGGCCCTGTTACAGCCCTGCCCCGGCCCTCGCCCCGGCCCTGTCTCGGCCCTGCCCCGGCCCTGCTCCTGCACTGCCGCGGCCCGGCCCCGGCCCTGCCCTGGACCTGTCGCGGCCTCGCCCCGGCCCTGTCCCGGCCCTGCTCCGACCCTGCCCCGGCCCTGCCCCGGCTCTGCCCCGGCCCTGCCCCGGCCCTGCCCCTGCCCTGCTCCTGCACTGTCGCGGCCCTGCCCCAACCCGGCCCCGGATCTTTTGCGGCCCGGCCCCGGCCCTACCCCGGCCCTGCCCCGGCCTCGCCCCTGGTAAGAGCGCCGCGCTGCCGAGCCGCGCCGCCCTGCCGAGCCGCCCTGCCGAGCCGCGCCGCCCTGTCTAGCCTGCTTAGCCGAGTTGCACTGCTGCTGTTGCTAGCCTGCTGCTGCTCCTGTCATGGCTAGTCTCAATGTTCTTACCTTTGATTCGGAGGGTCGAGCTGTTGACTTTGAGGTCTGGCTAGATGATCTGCAGCTTTTCCTACAGTGCGATAGCAAGGATGGCCTCTCACTGTTCGATCTCACGTCTGGCGCCTCTACTGCCCCTGCTGCTGATGCTGACAGTACTGTTCGCTCGCAGTGGCTCACGCGCGATGCTGCTGCTCGTCCCAGGCACGCCCACCTTCGACTGGAAGCACCTCATTGCCAACAAGGTCAGGCGCCTTCAGCCTTATTTGCAGTGCGTTATGCAGCACAACTTCGCATTGCAGTGTACCGAGGCGTACTGTACAGTGTACATTCACTTGTATTGTAAACGCTGGTGTAAGGGCAAGGCGATTCGGTCGGGCTCGAAGCAATGGGGGTATTTGCGCCTCATGGCTGATGCAGAGGGTTCGAAGATACCTGTTCGTGATTCCTCTGTCTGTGATGATACTCGTTCAAGATTTGAAATACCCGGTCCAGATTTGAAAATAGACGGTCGAGGTTTCACTCTCTTTTTCTGTGTTTCCCTGTGTGTTGTGCTTATCTGTTTCCCTGCAGACCCGCGAGATTGAACGCCTCAACGGGGTGTACAAGCGCATTCTCAGCAACGTTGGAGTGACGCTGGTGGAGGGGCGGGGCCGCATGCAGTGGAGGTGACGGCACCTGATGGCCCATGCATCCTCTCTCCTACTGCTGTTCGTTTCTCCCTTCCCCCCCAGACCCGCGAGATTGAGCGCCTCAACGGGGTGTACAAGCTCATTCTCAGCAACTTTGGGCGTGATGCTGGTGTAGGGGCGTGTTGGTTCATGCTTCCTTTTTCTTTCTATCTTCTGTGCCACCCTTCTCTCTGCTGTGCTTCTTCCCCCCCAGACGCGCGAGATTGAGCGCCTCAACGGCGTATACAAGCGCATTCTTAGCAATGCTAATGTGACGCTGGTGGAGGGGCGCGGCAAGCTGGCAGGGCCGCACGCCGTGGAGGTGACGGCGCCTGATGGGACGGTGAAGCAGATGACCGCCAAACACATCCTCATTGCTGTTGGGGGGCGGCCCCACCTGATTGATATTCCTGGCAAGGTGCGCTGTGAAAAGGGTGGCTTGGCCATCGGCATAGGCATGGGCTTTGCATGGGCGCATGGCATGGGCGCATGCGGTGGAGGTGACGGCACCTGATGGGTCGGTGCGACACATGGCCGCCAAGCACATCCTCATTGCGGGGGGGGGGGGGGGGGGGGGGAGAGGGGGCTGGCCGCACCTGACTGACATCGCTGGCAAGGTGCGCGTTTGGAAAATGCTCATGGATTGCTCTCGGGGCATGGTTCCATGGCATGGTGTCATGTTCTCTGTTCTTCAAGAGTAAGATCTCTCCGGCCTTCAAAGAGCACCCTACCTTATTGTCCACACGAGCAGCACTCTCTGATTCACGGTTGATGAATCTGCCACCCCTCAATAAATTCGCTGATTCTTATCTCCTCCATCCCTCCAACTCTTCTCCCACTCATCCCCGTCCCTCCTCCCGTCTCTTTCCCCCTTTCCCTCTCTCCCTCCCCCCCACTCTTTTTCTTACTCCTCTTTCTCTTTCTCCTCTCCCCTTTCTCTTCCCCCTCTCCCCGTTCTCTTCCCCCTCCCTCTTTCTCTTCCCCCTCTCCCCTTCCCCTTTCTCTTCCCCGTCTCCCCTTCCCCTTCCCCTTCCCCCTCTCCGCTTTCCCATTCTCCATCCCCCCCTTCTCTTCCCCCTCTCCTGCCCCGCTTTCCCTCCCACTCCCTCCCCCAATCGCCAGGAGTTCGCCATAACGTCAGACGAGGCGCTCAGCCTGGCGGAGTTCCCCAAGCGCGTGGTCATTGTGGGCGCCGGGTAGGTTGCTTGAATTGGAGGGAGGAGTGGCAAGTGGGCGTATGGGGGGGGGAGGGGGAAGAGATTGAGGCGATAGGCGAGGGGGGAGGGGAGATGGGGGGAGGGGGAGGGGGGGGGGGAGGGGGAGGTGTTAGGTTAGTGGGGAGGGAAGGATGGGTGGAAAGGGTTGTCCACATAACACGTCTTCTGGATCTTCTTCTGAGTCTCTTGTCTCTGTCCAACCTCCCATTCCGCATGCCCTCCCACATCCCTGGCCGGGCCCCAACCGTCCCTCCACCATCAAAACTTTGAGCCTAAGAAGGTTCTCTGAGTCACCTCATCATTTTTGTTCCTCCCTCGAAACCCCTCCACCCACCCTGTCCCCCTTCCTTTCTGTGTGCCCCTCCCTCACCCCCTTTCCCTTCTGAACCCCGGGTCTTGCCCCTCCTCCCTGGACTGCCTCTCCTCCTCCCGCTCCCCAATCCCGCTCGTCCCTCCCCTTCGCCTCTCCACTTTCACCCCACACCTACATCGCAGTGGCAGCTGACTTCCCCACTGCACTGCGTCTCTGCCTCCCCCTGCACTGCCCCTCCCTATTCGCCCCCCTCTTCCCCCCCCTTCTGCACCCCGCAGCTACATCGCAGTGGAGTTTGCGGGCATTTTCCATGGCATGGGCGCTGATGTGCATCTCGTGTATCGCCAACCCACGCCCCTGCGGTATGTGTCTTGTGCCAACATCACTGCTCATTATTCCTTGTGATTGCTCATCATTGTCTCATCATTGTCTCATCACTACCTTATCGGCTCGTCATTTTCTCATCATTGTCTCATCATTGCCCATCATTGCTCATCATTGCTCATCATTGTCTCATCACTACCTTATTGTCTCATCATTGTGCCATCACTACCTCGTCACCTACGTACGACTCCTTGTACCATTGCAGAGGGTTCGACGAGGAGATGAGGGGAGTGGTGGCGCAGAATCTGGCAACTAGAGGCATGAATCTGCACCCCTCCACCAACCCCACCAAGGCAAGCACCGTCTGCTCAGATGAGATCAGGATTCAGATGAGATCAGGATTCAGATGAGATCAGGATTCAGATGAGATCAGGATTCAGATGAGATCAGGGGCAGCCAACTATTGCATGCCACGTTGTCCTGGTTGTCACCCCCCTCACCTCCGCATCCCTTCCCCGTAAGTCTCCTACCAGCTTGTCTTTTGCTCGCTTGTGCACGCGCAATCAACAAACACAGTGCAAATCAAGGATGCACACAACCTGCCTGTCATACTGAACGGAGCACATGTGGAATCCATGAATGCGGTTATGCAATGTGTGCATGTAATGTGCTTTCTCCAGATCGAGAAGACAGCGACTGGCACCTATGTGCTCCACACGGATAAGGGAGAAGCTCTTGAAGCGGATGTGGTCATGTTCGCCACTGGTGAGCGGCGTTCCTTGTTCCATTGTCTTGCCAATCCCCTCTCGACTCAACTGTGCTGCTCGTGTTTGCCTTGCCACTTGGTGAGCAGCACGCGCAGTGCGTCCTTGCCTCGCACACTGTGCTGTGCTATAATGCCCTTTCTCACTTACCTCTCAACGGTTCGTGTTCACCTCTGGTAAGCAGCGTTCAATTCAGTGCTCTCTTGTTATTCACACGTGTGCCACTCTGCTTCTTGTCACCCTTCACTCTCAACCCCTCACGTTCTCCACTGTTGAGCTCCTTTGGGTGTGCTGTGCACTATCCCTCTCCCTCTCCCCTCATTGCATCTCATCCCTCCCCAACTCCTAAACCCCCACCCACAGAGACCGTGCATCTATCTCTGGGTGGGACCATGCCCTCACAGAATCTTGGATTGGCAGTCACATGAAGATTTCCCCCAACCATTTCTCCCCCCGCTTCCCCCATGGGATCTCTCCATGTCATCACAGGCCGCGCACCCAGCACGCACAACCTGGGCCTGGAGAACGCTGGAGTGGAGACGGACAATATTGGGGCGATCAAGGTGGGTGACTGATCTTTGACACGTGCGGAGAGTGAGTGGGTGAGTGACTTTTGAGACTATGAGACTTCCTTAACAGTCAACCTGGGCGTGGGGAATTCGGGAGTGGAGACGGATGGCATCGGGGCAATCAAGGTGAGCGAGATCATAAGTCACCGCGTCGCTGAATCTCAAGCTGTATGCATGTTTTGAGACGTCTCAAATCTCAAGCTGCATTCATGTTTTGAGACGTCTCAAATCTCAAGCTGCATGCATGTTTTGAGACGTCTCAAATCTCATGCTGCATGCATGTTTTGAGACGTCTCAAATCTCAAGCTGCATGCATGTTTTGAGACGTCTCAAATCTCAAGCTGCATGCATGTTTTGAGACGTCTCAAATCTCAAGCTGCATCCATGTTTTGAGACGTCTCAAATCTCAAGCTGCATGCATGTTTTGAGACGTCTCAAATCTCAAGCTGCATGCATGTTTTGAGACGTCTCAAATCTCAAGCTGCATGCATGTTTTGAGACGTCTCAAATCTCAAGCTGCATGCATGTTTTGAGACGTCTCAAATCTCAAGCTGCATGCATGTTTTGAGACGTCTCAAATCTCAAGCTGCATGCATGTAAATTGTGATCATATGTCGCTGCGTCGCTGTAGTCCTGTGCTGAAGCTCTTATCACGCCAGCGGCATGCATGTTTGTGACAGTGAGTCGCTAGTAGCGATGTAACACTGTTCCGTGTTAAACCAAGCTGCACACATTTGTTGCAACTACAAGGGAACGCGGGAGTGGAGACAGAAACTGTTGTTGGGGCAATCAAGATTACACCCTCCGCCTCTTCCTGTCCCTCGCACCCCTTCCTCCCTTTCACCCCGCCCACCCCTCCTAGGTGAGCGCATGGTCGCAGACCAACGTGCCGAGCGTGTGGGCTGTGGGAGACGTCACCAACCGCATCAACCTCACGCCCGTGGCGCTCATGGAGGGGCACTGCTTCGCGGTGAGTGAGATAGCAACACCTGCATCTGACGTAGTTTCTGCTGCAAGCCTTGTATCCTGACAGTTTCATTGCCACCACCCGTTACCAACCGCATTCGCCTCACTCCCGCTGGGCACTGCTTCGCGAATACACGACTGCAACAGCAAACCCACTGAGTGCCTGCTTGCCGAACCCCCTGTCCCGTGCATGAACTCGCTCGTCAACCATGCAGCGCACCGTGTTTGGCAACGACCCCGACACGCCCGACTTTGAGAATGTCGCCTCGGCTGTCTTCTGGTCAGTTGCCCTCTCCTCTTGAGATCTCGGAACAAACCGATTTGTAGCCCTTCAGAACCTCAAAGAAGTCTCTAATACCAACTGATTCTACTCTCCTGTAGTTAGGAGATTCGTCTATCGCCAGCCTTTCATATTTTTTTTCACGAGGCACAGCTGCTGCTAGGCATTACTAACGACACACACGTGTGCTTGTGTGCGCGGGGTTGCTCCAGCTTTTTTGTCAACCTTAACAATATGCCCTTACATTTTGTAAGGCACAGCTGCTGCTACGTATCACAGGTCACACATGCAAGTACTGTGCATGCTTCCCTTCATCCCGTTCCCCTGCCACCTCCCTCTTTCCATTGCTGAGCTGAGCATCCAGCCGGCCCTGGCAGTGGTGGGCATGACAGAGAAGCAGGGAATGAGGGGAGAGGCCAACATCCACTTTACTCCATGAAACCACTCCTGCTTGCTCTGACCCCATGGTTTTTTTTTCGCCCTGCCGAGCAGCCAGCCGCCCCTGGCAGTGGTGGGCCTGAGAGAGAAGCAGGCTGTGGAGAGGAGGGGGGAAGCATCTCTCTACTCATTGTGACCATTCGTGCTGCTCGCCCTCAATCCATGCCTTCTCTTCTTCCCCCGTGTGCAGCCAGCCGCCCCTGGCAGTGGTGGGTCTGACGGAGAAGCAGGCGGTGGAGAGGAGGGGGCAAGCAGTGCGCCACCCAATGTTTCCTCTGCTTGCATGATTCCGTGCCTTTCTTTTCTCCCTATCATGCAGCCAGCCGCCCCTGGCAGTGGTGGGCCTGACGGAGAAGCAGGCGGTGGAGAACTCAAGCAGTGATGTGCTCGTGTTCACATCCTCGTTCAACCCCATGAAGAACACCATCTCAGGGTGAGAGAGCAGTGAGAGGCAGGTGCGTGTTCCTGTAGTGTGTGTGTCTCGCCATGTGGATGTGGTGCCAGGAGTGTCCTCAGAAACGTAGATGTGCCTTGTGTTCAGCTCGGCCTTTTAACCCCTTGAAGAACGCCATCTCAGGGTGAGAAGGGGGTGCATGCTCATGTGTCTCGCCCTGTGCTGCCATGAGTTCTTCGTGTCATGATGTGCTCGTGTTCACACGAGCACATCATGACACTTTCTCGGGCTGAGCCCATCTCATGCCCATATCTTCCCATGTCTGGCCATGTGCTGCCACGAGTTCCCATGCATCTTGATGCGCTCGTGCTCATCATGAGCTCGTGCTCATCCGTTTCTAAACCCCATGTAGAACACCATTTTGGGGTGAGATGGGGGTGCATGCTTGCATGTTGATTTTTTATTCGACTGAAAATTGAGAAGTACCATCTTTGAGTAGTGCTTCATACATATTCGTGTGTCTCCCCATGTGGCGCCACGTGTTTTTATGCGTCTTCATGTGCTCGTGATCCCATGCTTGTTAAACTCCATGAATAAGATCATCTTGGGGTGAGGGGCATACATGGCCAAGTATGACCGCATGTCTCCCCGTGCCCATGTGCCACACCATGGTTGACTCTTGATGTGACGGCACATGCACCTATTTGCTTCCCCCCCCGAGTGGAGAAGGCGTACATGAAGCTGCTGGTGGACTCGTGTATCGAGGGCACATACGGTACTCTGACATACTTATGTCTCCTGCTCCACCCCTCCCTCGCTCCCCCCGCACCAGGCGAGTGGAGAAGACGTACATGAAGCTGCTGGTGGGTGGAGTCATGCAAGGATGAACTCCTGTATCGAGTGTGCATATGTTAATGCATTCCCTCCTCTGCTCTTGCATCCTCCCCACACCAGCCGCGTGGAGAAGACGTACATGAAGCTGCTGGTGGGTGGAGTCATGCAAGGATGAACTCCTGTATCGAGTGTGCATATGTTAATGCTTTCCCTCCTCTGCTCTTGCATCCTCCCTACACCAGCTGCGTGGAGAAGACGTACATGAAGCTGCTGGTGGACTCGGAGACAATGGTATGAGGATGGCATGTCCGCCTCTGTACCTTGACAAATTGCATTCCGCCCCTCCCATCATCCTCCCCACACCAGCCGAGTGGAGAAGACGTACATGAAGCTGCTGGTGGACTCGGAGACGGACCGCGTGCTCGGTGCCTCCATGTGCGGCCCTGATGCCGCTGAGATCATGCAGGTGAGTCCTCCCAGCCATGCAGGTGAGGGGCATGCAGGTGAGAGCTAAGCAGGTAGGTGAGGGTGATGCAGTTACATTGAGTAACTGGGGATCGGAGTGTATCAGGGTATAGTGTAAAACAGGCTGTTGTTTAATTTGAATGTGGGTGCATGATCATGGGTTATGAGGTATTCACGTGTTGGTCTGTTGATGTCTGCCTTGAGCTGTTCCGACAATTATAATTGGCGTGCTTGACTGACTTGTTAGCGCTTCCAAGTTCAATCTCCGTCCTCAGTGAAGCAACCTCATGTCTCCGACTTTCCTTTGCTTTTCTGCAGGGTCTTGGGGTTGCAATGAAGTGCAACGTTACCAAGAAGCAGGTTGACTCGACGGTAAGTTGAGCGGTGTATAGTTTGAAGCGGGCAATTGCAAGGCTAGTAGTGTACAGATTTAGCTTCTTATGTCTAATACTAAATCATGCATTTTTCTTGTGTTTGCAGGTGGGGATACATCCAACATCTGCAGAGGAGTTTGTCACCAAGAAGCAGGTTGACTCGACGGTAAGTTGAGCGGTGTATAGTTTGAAGCGGGCAATTGCAAGGCTAGTAGTGTACAGATTTAGCTTCTTATGTCTAATACTAAATCATGCATTTTTCTTGTGTTTGCAGGTGGGGATACATCCAACATCTGCAGAGGAGTTTGTCACCATGCGGACACCAACACGCCGTCTGCCTGGGATGAAGAAAGTGTAGCAGTCTCAGAATGAATTTCTGCAGTGGTATTTCATAATGACAGATGTCTTGGCTCCTTGAGCTAACAAGTGCATGTTACAGTCTTCCAGTAGGTGTAGTTTCACGGTCGATCATTGCGTGTTTATTCCTGTCCCACCCACGTATTTTCACTTCGATTATGACGCATTGATTGAGAATGCGGCCCTGTCCACGTCAGTGCAGCCCCACAGCCACTCTGTAACACGTAGATGCTCTGTGGGCACAGACTCTTCCGCCAGTGAGGGTATCGGGGATCTCCTTGATTTGTCTCCCCTTCCCAACTTTCTGGGCCTCCTTTATGCACGTCAGCACTAATTGGGGAAATGCGATTGGCTGAAGTTGGTCCGTCAAACAGTTTTTGTTCATCATATCGCGAGACCGACCACAGCCACGAATTCTGCTCTTGTAGGCAACCAGAGGCAACGATAACAACGACCGCAACGGAATTTTCGATGCATGGGAGCTCGTCAGCGTTGCCATCAAGCATTCTCTTGACGATGTTGGAGTCTGCTCACATGCAGAGATGCTCGAAGCACAAGTCAGTTTACACAAATCGTGAGGAGCATCTTTTTCGATTTCTGTTCCCACTCCCGCTTTAGCCGTCACTTGTTTCTCACTAGTTCCGAGTGTTCCAACGCTCCAACTTCGCGTGTGACGCGAAACTCCTCAGCTATCAGCAGTATTTAGGTTCTTGAACGGCCTTCTTCTATCGTGCGATCTCCGAGTCGTGGCTCTTTTTAGTTCGTCGGAACGGCCTAAGACCTCCTAAGGAAGCCATCCACTTCAGTGAACGCCTCCCAAGGAGGTCTTTCAGGGAAATAATTAAATTGGTACTATAGGCGAATATTTCTTTCCCGCTGTGGATTGCTCAACGATGGCACAAGCTTGTGACAGCACCGTCTCATCGCGGCATATAAGCCGGAAAGCTTATCGACAGGTCTGAGCGTTTTTACTGATCGCTTCAGCTATGTCTCAGTTTCTTTTGGGACACATGGAGCTTATTCGCTTGTGGGTGTTGCAGATGAAGGTAATGGTTGCGCTTTTCATCTGGCTCGGACTCTTCCATTTCAACACCATAGCTGCAGCTATTGCCATCTATCACCTCCCTAGCAAAACGTCGGTGGCAGTCCTTGTCGTATTGGTGACGCTGGTGATTATTCCTGTGTCCGAGTCCGAATTCGGGATTAAGGTTGCTTCCTTTATTGCCAGAACTGCCTCGACATACTTTCCGATCAATGTGAGCTTGTCATCGACGACCTGTACCGACTTAAATCTTTGGGGTTACTCCATACGCAACTAATCAGCGTCAGTTGCAATTTTCAGATGATATACGAGGACCGCCAGGCACTGGATCCCAACAAGGCGTATATTGTTGCTTTGGAACCTCACCATGTTTTCCCAATCTCCGCAGTTGCCCTGTCTCCGTTGTCTGGGCTGTTCCCGTTGCAAAAGATCCGGATCCTTGGGAGCAGCGCCTTGACCTACGTTCCTTTCGTTCGCCATATCTGGCGGTGGCTCAGTATGTCGCCAGCCACGCGGAAGCAGTTTTCGAATCTACTGGCTTCGGGAACGTCTTGCGTCATTGTCCCGGGTGGCTTGCAAGAGTCGTTGTTGCTTGAACCGTCTCGAGAGGTGCGCATGATCATTTTCTATGCCAGCGTGCGTACGGTCTTGCAATGTTCTGACCTGGGTGTCGTGCGTACTGCAGGTACTGTTTCTGAAGCGACGATTGGGCTTTGTGCGGCTGGCAGTGGAGACTAGTACTCCTATCATCCCCATCTTCTCCTTCGGTCAGAAGGATGTGTACAGTTACTGGCTCCCTCGCAGCTCCTTCCACACTGCTCTGTCTCGTAAGTTGATGTTTGCTCCAATGCTGTTCTGGGGTAGGTGGGGAACGCCTATCCCACATCAAAAGCCCATGACCCTTGTGGTTGGGAAACCGATCCCTGTACCCGAAGCTGAGACCGTTGACGCTGCAGTAGAGAAGATGCACGCGGAGTTTTTAGCTGCTGTAGAGAGCCTTTATGAGCAGCATAAATGCGGAGTAGGAGCCTCTCATGTTCCGTTGGTAGTAACATAATGTGGAAGGAAGTACTCACACTTATTTTTTCTTTGGAAAACTTGAAAAATAATGACACATCCATCTAGTTTTCGCTAAGCTGCTCGCTCAAGTAAAGCTGCTAAGCTCACTACTCTCCGCTAAAGGGCGAAATCAGCAACCTTGCATCTTCTCTTATACTCGTACATTTGAGCCACGACTTGCTAGCAATCCGCGACACCCTTGACGCGAGAGGCGATCGAAACTACAATCGTGGATCTACCGTGTCGGTGTTGGCGCACGTTGATACGAAACTAGTGCTTATCTGGCAGGCAATTAGCGCACGGCGCAGAGTGGAATCTTCCTTGCAACGGCGCGGCTTGAGCTTTGTGTTGAGCAGCAGTGGACAGCACGGTGCCGTCATCAGTTTCTACCTCCTGCTACACGAACAACAGATTTGCGAACCCCCTTCCCCCGACGTGCATTTTCGCCTCCCCCCATCAACCCAAATTCCCGCCACTTTGCCAACCTCACATCCGCGCTTGTGCTTCTCCCCAACCACTTTTTGTGACCTTCCTCGCTACACCAACTTCTTCCTTGAAACAAAGACTACACTTTCCACCTCATTTCTTATGCTTCCTTTACCTCCAACATCATTTTGCATGCCACCAGCCCAATACCTTACATAATGACAGGCCGCAAAAGGGGCCGTGGTGCCCAAGACTCTGAACCCACTTCTCCTCGTCCGCCTGCCCGTTCGCGACAAACTCCAGCCTTCGCGATTCTTTCGACCTCCTCATCAGCCCTTGCACCACCCCCTACTCCTAAGCCTCAATCATCTTCTGCTCCCTCCCAGCAACCTCAGCCAACAACAGCGCCAAAAATTGTCTCGGACAAACAAAAGGAGATTCTCCAGCAGGTCCTTAAAGCCACCCTTCCTGATTCTCCGTCTCCATCACGGCCTCAAACCTCTCACCCTCAGCTCTCGACTTCCCGTGCCCATCCTTCATCTACCTCAACACCTCCACCGACGACTACAGCAGATGCTCCTAATCCCACAGCCCCTGCCGACAACACGCACCCACTATCACACTATGAAACTGTTGCTTCACCTTCTCGAGATCCCCCTCCTCCTTCCCCTACCCCTCACTCTACGCAGCCATGCCCGCAACCCTGCCCGCCCTCATCAACCTCCGATAACCCACTACCTCCTAATTCTTGCCCCACATGTCGACGCACCTTTGCCAACTCAGGTTCGTTGGCCCGTCACCTTCCAGCCTGCTCTCGCAACACCGCCACACGTCAGCAAGCTGCTCGCCCTCCTCCTCCCCGCTCATCAGCCCCAACCTCGGCGCCTGCAGCCGCAGATCGACCTGCAATTCCTCAAGCCACTTGGGAGGCCGTTCCTTCCTGGGATTGGCCTTCCTTCTTCAGCCCGGCAGTCTCACCTGGCCCTATTCTCCGCCGAATCCCCTCCCGCATCCGACTCCTCATTCTCGATGCACTTCTCATTCCACTGCGCCGCCTTGCACAACATCCTTCTGACGTCGCTGCACACCTCATTCTCTTGGCATTTCCGCGTCTCCTACTGCGCCTACCTTCTGCCGCTGCTCCCACACAGCCCCTTACCTCTTCATGTGCTGCCTTAGCGCGCCGCTTCATCACTGGTGACTGGCACTCTCTTTTCAGCGAAGCCGTAGCTGCAGCCACTCCAGCCGCTAGACCTCTGCACATGGCTTCAGCACGTTCTACAGCGCAGCAGGCTCGTCTCAACCGTGCAAAGCGGTTTGCAAAATGCGGGGATTGGTCGCGGTCACTGGCAGCACTGGAAGCTGGCGAGCTAGCTCCTCCATCATCAGAAACAGTTGTTGCCCTCAGCTCCAAGCACCCACCTGCTGCAGCAGAGATTCCTGACTGGGTACACACCTTCACTCCTGCAGCCGCACCACAGCTTACCGTCCCTGTTCTCCATGCCGCTCTACAGTCCGCCCCCCGTGGCACAGCTGCTGGACCTTCTGGGTGGTTCATTGAGCACCTCAAGGACACGTTTCTTTCTCACCAGCAGCATCTCCCTTCTCTCCTCCACGTATTCCAGAACTGGCTGCAGGGTGACCTTCCGCCCGCAGTCAGGCCTTTCTACACCGCTTCGAACCTCGTGGCCCTGCAGAAACCGCATGGTGGTGTACGTCCCATCGCCATTGGGGAAGTGCTACCACGCCTCCTTTCACGCTGCATCACTCTCCTTTTTAAGCAGCAGATGCGAGAGACATTCCTTCCTCACCTTCAATTTGGCGTAGCAGTTCCGGCCGGGATCGAGATTATGTCGCACGCAGTGTGCTCCGCCTTCTCCCTTCATCCAGACTGGGTGGTGCTTCAGCTGGACGTTGCAAACGCGTTCAACTCGTTCAACCGGGTTTCCATGTTTGAGGCATTAAGGCGCTCCCCATTCTCCAGTCTCATTCCCTTCTTCCGCCTATTCTACTCCACCCCTTCACCTCTCCACTACCGCAGCGGCCCCCTTCTCCACACATTCCAATCAGCTTCTGGTGTTCGTCAAGGCGACCCTTGTGGCCCTTTCCTTTATGCCCTAACACAGCAGCTAGCCATCCAACCAACCCAGCAGCAGTCTCCCTCAATTTTCATTACCTCATACGCAGACGATACCTACTTGGTCGGCCCTCCCTCAGACGTCTTTGCCGCATACACTGACCTTACCTCCCGCCTTCTCTCTCTCGGCCTTACAGTCCAACCCTCTAAGTGCTCTCTATGGGTCCCTATGGACCTGCCCGAACACTGCATTCCGCCCCCGGGTATTTCCATCACTGCAAACGGTCTCACTGTCGCTGGCGTTCCTACCGGCTCCGACGGTTACATCATCTCTACAGTTCGTGACAAACTCGATTCTTTCACTTCCTCCCTCCCCTTACTGCATCAACTGCAGGACCCACAGATTGCCTCACGGATCCTTTCCTTATGCATCACTGCCCGACCTTCTTTCCTCCTCCGAACTGTCGCACCTTTTCCCGAAATCCAAGAGCTACTTTCTTCGTGGGACTGCACCATTTTCAGCCACTTCTCTCAGCTCCTGGGCTCTGAGTACTGGAATCCCACCTCTGAACAGTCCACATCGGCCCGCCTCCAAGCCTCGCTCCCTATCCGCTTAGGTGGCTTCGGCATTCGCAGCTCTGCATCCATCGCCCCCCTCAGTTACCTTTGTAGCTGGGCGCAGACAGTTTCGAGCTTATCCACCCACTTCATCACTGATGGTGCTCCTCTTTTCCGCCCTTACGTCACCACGGACTCCATTAACCTCCTCGACCCTTCAATCTCATCCACCATGACCATGCTTCCCCAAGACATTCGTGATCGCTTCCCATCATGGCTTGTGCTTCAATCGGGCTACCCTCCTAAACTCTTTACTCATCTCTCCCAACACCTCGAAGCCGATTTGCTGGAGAAGGTTCGAGCCACAGTAACGTCCCCGCTTCGCCTTGCTCGTCTAACCTCTTTGCAGGGCCCGCATGCAGGTGACTGGCTCACTGTGGCTCCATCCTCCCCGCACATGCAGCTTTCAGAGACTGGATGGCGCATTGCAGCAGCTATCCGCTTAGGCCTTCCTCTTCCTCACCTTTCATCTTCACTCACCTGCACCTGCAACTCCCCGTTCACCGATCCTTCCATCCATTCTCATGTCCTTCGCTGCCCTAGCAACAACGAGCCTACTAAGGTGCACGACGCAATCAAACGAGAAGTTCATCGCATTGCCTTGGAGCTTGGGTTCTCTGCGCAGATGGAAGACCAGCATCTCCTGCCTGGCCGCCGCACAGACATCACTTGCCGCGATATTAGCTCTGGTACCACCTGGGCCTTGGATGTTTCTGTTGCTGATCCACAAAATGGGTTTCCGCACTCCAACGCAGCTACGGTGATTGGTTCAGCAGCAGCCACTCGTGAAAGTGAGAAGACCACCCACTATGCTGCAGCACTTCGTGACCGTCCAGACATCAAACCGTTTCCCCTTGTCATCGAAACCTTTGGTTGCTTTGGCTCTTCGTTCAACAACCTCCTTTGCCAATGCAGCCGCAAAGGGGCGTCACAACTCCGCGACTTGAGTGGTGCCACAGATTCTCTTCCCCAGCTGTTTGAGACCAACTTCTACAAACGGATTTCTCTGGTCCATCAACGTGAGCAGGCTCGCACTGTTTGTCGTCGTGCACAAATTCGTTTTACCGAGGGCGTCAACCTCGCACCACCCGAGGTGACTTCTCTTTCTGCAGCTGACTTTGCCTACTTGGGAGAGGACCATTGAGACATCACAGAGGCCTATTTGTAGGCCTCACAATAGGATTAGCCTGCATGTCTCTCCATACACTACGTCTCTGGATTTGCCTTTTATCCATTGTACATTTACTATAGTGTCAATAAAGAGGTAGAATAGCACCCTGCCATGTGCCCGGTGCAGACCCGGGTTCGATTCCCGGCTGGCACACGGTTTTTATTTTGCTGTTAGCTACCAGCTACATTGTCTCGAGGTGAGCTTTTTGTTGGCTGGCTAGATACTTTATCACTATGAGTGGCAATGTCTTGTTCGGTTTAGCAGTAGCATCTGCAAGACCAATTTCTGGAAAACCTTTAGGCAGGGCCTCAGAAGTCAGCTAAAAAAAGCTGATTTAGGTAAAAAAGGCTGAAATTTCATACCTTTTTTATAACTAAGGCTGATTTTTCAGCAATTTGTTGAAAAGAAACATGAAATTTTATTAGATTTGTAGTGTACAATGGCATAAAAGGGCTGATTTGTCTGCTTTTCAGCAAAACGTATTGTGCCTACTCTGATTTTTCAGCCTAGGCCAAAACGAATCAGAGGCCCTGCACAGGGCCCGTGCTAGCATTTGGGGCACCCTGAGGCCTCAGGGCACTATTCTAGAATCTTAAAAAATGCCCCGATTTGTCAGGGCAAATTTTCAAAACCATCCTCTATGTTCAGGGCTTCTGCAGAAATCAATCCTGACCAGGGCAAAAAAACATATGTTCAGGGTTCAGAATTTAACACACACCAGACCAGACCAGACTCTGCTGTGCTGAGCAGAGCAAAGCAAAGCAGAGCAGCACATATAGTTGGATTTTTACTACTAAAGTAACTCCCACACAGGGCTGACTTTATCAGACTAAAATAGTCTGATTGTCTGAAATCTCAGGGTATTTTCCTACGGATCCTGATTTTTCAGACTTGTAAGATTTTCAAACATGAGTGCCTCAGACTTACTTGGTTTTGGATCCTGAGATTTTCAGAGTACTGACTTAGCCGATAATGGGTCTTCATACTACAGGGAGTACGGATCCTGAAATGCGGATCTGTGATTTCTACGTACATTCCGCTACGTCATATGTTGCCAGTGTACGAACACACTTCATGGCGCTGTCACGCGCAGAATCTGTCCTTGGCAACTTTTGCCACCCTTTTCCCTTAGAAATCTGCCAACTTGGCTCACTCTTCCACTCACGCGGGACCATCACTGCAGCTACGCGGTGTCAGCGAGGGAAACTGGTTAGCGTTGCGCCCCACGTGCTACATTTGTGGCAGTACTGTACTGCAGTGGTTGTAGTGTGTTCTGAGTACTTCAGACTTGTGTTTTTGAGGAACCTGAAAAATCAGAGTGGCCATTCTCTGGGAAATATGCCTCAGACTAAAAATTTTCAGAGCCCCCAGAACATCAGACTGGATTTTTTTGAATAGTCAGCCCTGCTCCCACACCTCCTCTTAGCCCTCCTCCTCATCATCATCATCATCGCTGCTGCTACTGAACCTACTGTCGTTGCTGCTGCTGCTGGCATGTTCAGTAGACGAGGATGTTGCAGGAACGGCAGATGGTCCTGATACTACTGGCTCTATGCGGATGCATACGGTAGGTTCCGTAGGACTATCGTGAGAGAAAGACAAGCGTGACTGTTTGTGCTTGGTCGCTTTTAACTTAGCACTAGCAGCAGGGCCGATCCGTGTTGCACTAGGTCGTAAAACACAGGTGGGGATTGTACTAGCATGGGGTGGTATTACTGCTTGAGTTGGAGATGGACCAGCAGCAGGTGAAACTACCGGTAAGGTGGTCACGGTATGGGCACTTCGCAAGAAGTCTAAACCTGTCAAACCCTGTGGTCGACTTAGCCGATGATACTGGCGCCGCGACATTGTCATCGTTGGCCATTACTAGTGCGAGTGAGCCAGCCGAGCTTCACTTGTGTTGCTACTCTAACAGCAACACTGGAAGGGTGTTCCAGGAGGCTCAACATCAGAGAGTCACCCACCTAGTGCATGCATGGCACACGACACGCCGAGATGGGATTGTTCCCTGTTTTCCCCATCTGATGGGTTTGGTTGGTGCGTTGCGCAGGGTCGGAAGTGCAAGGGGAGGGATTGCGAAGGCGGGACAAATACACGGAGAAAGCAATCCGCGGCGGAAAAAATTACGGGGGAAAAATCCCCCCCCCCCCTCCCCCCACAAAAAAAAAAAAAACTCGTCAGGGGCAAGCCTCGACATTCATCCTGACACTACAAGGAAGTACTGTCAAACTTATATAGTGCTTATATAGTGTAGGTTATAATGGGGTAGCCCATAAGGGGTACAACCCAATTAGGATTAGTACTTGTACCCAA